TAAAGGGCTAATGATAACTATCAAAACGCCTGCCATTTGTTATAAATAAATGAATGATTCTTGAAATCAACTTCGAATGGGTTACTTGCGGGAGGTTTATATTAATCTGAATCCGTTTAAACCCTATTGAGCCATCATTTTTTGGCTTGAATTCTTCGCACCTTTATGCGAATAGCAATCATTTTCACAGGATGCGCCTGTTGAACTTCCATTTGAGCAGTTGAAATCGTTAATTGAGAGACTGGTGATAGGAGAACCTTTCAGATGAATTGGAGTAGCACATGCTGGGGCAGTCGGGGCAGGCATTATGACTGTTGGATTCCTCTTGATCCACTGGCTTATCCAAGCCATTTTTGATCCACAGTTAAGCGGATTTTCGTCTAAGCTCCTAAAATAGGAAATGCGCTTCTTATTCTTAGTGATCGTGAATCCCAACAAATATTTGACTCATTCTAACAACATTTGAGAATGAAAATAATCAATAACCAACCAATGTATCATAATATGAGTATTTTAGTACTTCACCGAATCTCGGTCTTCATTTGACCAATCAAATCATTTTATTACCGAGCCACTTCAAGTTTATAAAAATCTTATCTCTAATTGATGGTCCTTCACACATTCAGCCAATAAGATACTTTCATTTGAGAGAGGGAGAGAGAGACAAAGAAGAATGCACTTTTTTAAAGTGCCGCTCCTATTAAGTAGTCTGCACACACTTGAAAGCGTACTTTTAACTATTCAGTCCACTTTTATATCTTTGTGCGCATAAAGTCATGTCCTAATTTAATTTAATCATCCAAATCTATAAAATTAGCAGGTGTTTATTATTTTGGAAGGTTTAATTTCGAAAATGCCGAAATATAATCAAAGTCCTTGTCGTGAAATGAGAATCTAATTTACCCGGAACAAAATGATTCTATTTAGATTCTTTATTTCAGTGCGTACCATAATTTGTTTTCAAATAGTCAATGAAAATAAGATCTTGTAAACAATAACTTACACAAGTTTCAGTGATTTCAAATCAAATGCCGTGCTTCCAATACACCGAATTTTGTTTGAGTGAAGTTGTCTAAATTTTTTTATTATTTGAATTAAAAGTCAACTTACAGAACTTTAAGTTTTGATAGACCGACAAATGTTTCATTCCGAATACGCGAAATCTCGTTATGGTGAAGTGACCTATATTTGAAGACATATTAACAAAACATATAAACTTACAAAACCTCCAGCTTCTTTAGATGTGACAGGTTGTCAGTATTAATTTCGCCGATGGAATTATAGTCTAAATACCTGAAATGGGAAAAATAGCAGGTTATGACGGAATCAGAAACGGTCCGCGTTATTTTTTCTTGAATCTTCTTACAGTTCCTTTGTGTTTTCGGGGATACCAATTGGGATAGATACCAAACCTCGGTTGGTACAAGAAACTTTCACACTAGGTTCCAAAATTTCAACCACTCCAGGTCGCATAGCTGTAAAAGTGATAACATCATCCGCGGATCGTTGAACCCTATTTGGTAGCTGGGTGCAAGTGCAATCACTAGGGCAGTCCTGTGGCACATCCAAATCATGTTGAGGCCTCGAATGGTGTTGGACGTCAGGTTTTTGTGTGCATTGACGACTTCTTTCTCCTTGAACTAAAGTGAGCATACGCAAATGATTCCTACTATAGTAACTCAATTAAATCGATATTCAAGTTAAAACATTCAAGTTGGATAAGTATCCTTATTTGTCTTATCAATTGTCGCATAAAGTGGATAATGTTTCGGCGTCAAACGTGAATTTTTTTCCTATGGTTGCGTATTAGACTGAATTACCATTCGTATTTATTGTAATTCGGGTACTTCAATTTCCATGTGATTTGAATGAACTTGGAATACAAGAATTAATAATCGATTACAAAATGTTAAGTGATATAAAGTTAAAGTTGGTTTATGACTCCAAAGTCACCCCCCACCCCCACTCCTCCCTCCATTTATTTACACGAATGGGGCAGAAATTAGCCTTAATAGAGATAATTTAGCCGATTTCTTTATTCAAGGTGAGTGATAGTCTCCTCACCTCTCGATTTCAAAATCTTTGTAAGGAAAAAGGCTTAAATTGCTAATCATGGAAAGTGAAAAGAGATCTTGCAAATTTGCTAGAGACGGCGACTATTCGAATCACTTAAAAATCGGCAAACGGGTAACCAATGGAGGGACCATTTGGAATGACTATTCCAAGCTAATTATTTCCGCCGCAAGATCAAATCTATAAAGCAGACACATGTTTCGATAAGATAAAAATCAAATAGGCAAAATAATTCAAGGTCATTCAAGGTCTTTGTGAAGCCATGCTAATGTATATAAGTTTTGGGGCTTGACAATTTAACAAGCTAAAGGGACCACCCACGAAAGTGACAGCTAGACCGCCGAACAGAACAGTGTAGACTAAGTTTTGCATACCCCACACCACCCCATCCATGTAGATGTTAGTTCTGTTTATTGTGTCTGTCCAAACTCTTGTTTTGGCTGCAAGTGGGATAGAGGAGATGCATAGGGCCAATGCCAAACTGGTACGTTAAGAAAAATAGATGCAACTCACGAAGTGTTGGTATTAAAAGGATGTCAAAATAATCTTCTTCAAGTGAAAGTCTCTTAATCGGATTGGATCTGATGGTTGATCTTCTGGAAATCCAGTTAACCTATTCAACAGGTAATAGTCAAACCATTATCCTCATTCCTACTAGTATCCTTGGATGTGGAAGGTTGTTCAAAATACGTAATAACATTCGATTTATTATATTATGGCAAAATACGATGTAAATATAGGACTGAACTAATTAATTTGTCTATTAGGATTTAAGAAACTGAAACTAGAAAGAAATATCTGAGTTAGCTCTATCTTAAATTAAAAAAATATACCAATTCCCTTTTCAAAGGGTTCAAAGTACAACAAACCAATTAACAATGCCGTAGCTGCTTTAATAGCCAAAAGTCTAATAAGTAATAATAAATTACTAGGGTCTAAACAAAATGCCGAACGAGTTAGTCCTTTTGCTGAAACATTAAATCTTAAATGAAGTTCAAAGCGAGACTAACTTAAAATGGTTGGAATGAGAAATGGTGCAAATTCGGCATTCAATCCTTATACTATTGCATGCTTTCTTCCTGCTAATAATAAGAGGCTTCTATTTCCACCCAACAATGTCTTCCTCCGTGAAGTATGTGATACCGCTCGTATTTTCTGATTGTATGGACTTACCTCCACGTGGTGCACCCTGGGCAACGTATACTCATACGGCAAAAAGTCTATTAACCGGCAGTTGGCTTCAAACTATCGGCAAAAAAATTCTATTAACCGGCAGTTGACTTCTGACTTCAACGGCAAAGTCTATTAACTGGTAGTTGACTTCTCCGCATACGGCAAAAAAGTCTATTAACCGGCAGTTTTCTTCTCACTTCAAACTACCATGACCCCCCTATATGTCCTAGACTTCAAACTACCATCACCCCATTGTATGTCATATTCGACATCTTCACAGTACTCACCTAACCTTTTTCCTACCTTTTCTAACTTCGTCTTGAAACTCTTCTGTTCCTCACCCTCCTCTCGACTTTTTTTCACTTTGATGTTCCTTCCCCTTTGTGAAACCTGAAGTCAACTAAAGGGTTAATGATAGCTATCAAAATGCCTGCCATTTGAAATAAATAAATAAATATTGAGCGGAGTGGGGTGTGCGATAGACTTACCTCCACGTGGTGCACACTGGGCAAAGTTTACTCATACGCAAAAAAGTCTATTAATCGGCAGTTGACTTCTGACTTCAAACTACCATGACCCGACTCTATGTCATATTACACTACTCGCGGTACTCATCTTACCTTTTTTCTACCTTTGTGTCTGTCTCTTTTGCATTATTGAAACACTCTTTTATCCCCCCTCCTCTCGACTTTTTTCGCTTCGATGTTCCTTACCGTCTGTGAAGCCTGAAGTCAACTAAAGGGCCAATGATAGCTATTGTATGATATAAATAAATGTGCTTATGAATTTTAAGCTTTATTCACATTTCAGTGTAACAGAAAGGCCACAACGAATTGGTAAGTTAAACCGCATTTTATTGCCCCCAAAACACGAGTAACCTAAAACCAAGACATGAGCGCATAACAACTGAGATGGTTTGTTTAAATGGTTTCACATGGCCATCATCCAAACATCTGTTTTTACGATAGAGGCAAAATTTGGACAAGGCAGGCTGTAGATAAAAATATGGTAAATGTGTAATTTCAGAATGATTCTTTAGCGACTCTTTGAGTTCAAATAATACTAATATTAGTATAATATAAATATACTTTTAGAAAAAAAGAGCAGAGTTATAAAGTGAGCAACACCTTCACCTGTTCGGAGTTCTATTTGAGAACTCATAGTCTTCATTTTTGTGAGATTGATCCTGATGCTCTCTCCAACAATCTGAGTGATCATTCGCCAACTCTGCAATCGAATAACTAGTTTCTGAACTTAATGGTGAGCCGTTAACTTGACATATGCCTGACAACTTGGAGGTCTCAAGGCTTTTGCGAATGAATCTTTCGCCAAAGTCAATATTAGGTTAAGAAAAAACCTTATCGAATCAACGACAATTTTTGTTAGACAACTAACTGGCCAAATTTTAACTTCTGGACTTACCGCAAGGTGCAAGGGTGATATCTCGAACATACTGTCCCTTCAGATTGATTGGCATATGACAAGTGGTCCAGTGACTTCCACCGGCCTCGTTGCGATTGAGAAATTCTGGTAGCCAATGCAAAGAGCAATCGCAAGTGAGTTGGTTGTTAGCCAAGTATCTGCAATTCAAATGAGGGAAATAATGACTGCCACGTTAATAGAAAGATGACGACAATCTACTTATCCCATTGTCCACCAATTTTACCCTATTGACTGCATTGAATTCATGAATTGTGAATTGATATTTAGTGGTAAAGAAGGTCCCTAAGACACGAGAACATTCCATTTAGCAGTCTGAAGTCCTAAGCCAATAAGTTGTCCTTTCTTCCTATCATTTTCCTAAAACTTATCCATCATTTCCAATAATTACTGCTTTCGATAGACTTACCTCCACTTGGTGCACCCTGGGCAACGTATACTCATAAGACAAAAAGTCTATAAACCGGCAATTGACTTCTTACTTTAAACTACCATCACCCCATTGCATGTCATATTTCACAACTTCCTCTGTACTCATCTCACCTTTACCTTTGTGTCTGTCTGTCTCTTCTACATTATTCATTATTCTATACCCCCTCTCGAATTTGTCACTTTGATGTTCCTCCCTCTGTAAAGCCCGAAGTCAGC